TTTTTAATTACTTTCTAAAGCAATGTTTTAGTACAAAATTTATTTGAACTATAATTTTTTTGTACTAAAAAGCATTAAAAAAAAAGCTCCAAGTGTAAGACAAGACGCAAAATTATCTATATAGCCACAATTATTCAAGCATATTACATTGCTAATTTTAGAAGTTAGATACATAAATATAAATGTTTATATGATATATATGTAAAGTCTCTTTTAGAATATTTTTTTTTACTGCTTTTCATTTTGAGAAATATTAAAATTCTAATTTTCCAATTATTTGATTGCACGTTTAAAGATTACTGGTATGATTTTCTTGCTCTGCTATTTTATTTTGCTTAGTGTATAATCTGCAAATATGATTATTGTTATTTTTAAGGCAATTGGCCCCTCCATTGAAGTTCAAGAAATCATGTTCTTAATACAAAAATCACTCCAAAATGAAGCTTTCCAACATAAAAGTCTGCCATAACATAGGCATGTCTCTCCTAAACAACTCTTCCTCTGAAGATTGGAGCATGTTGCATTAAAAGTTACAAAACTAAGAGACTATTTGGATTCAAGTAGGATTTAGTAAATCCTCTAAATTGAGATGTATTAAGGCTTTGTTTGAGACAACTTACTTACTACTTTCTAAAGTGATTTTTTTACTAGAAAGTTGCTTTAGAAAGCACTAAGAAAGTTGTCCCAAATAAAATCTAAATCTTGAAAGTGTTAAATCCTGAAACATTCCTTTACCTCTTTTGCATGCTTCTTCAGCTAAATCCCATAAATCCATTGAACCATTGGGTTTCCTAAATCCATGATTTAGGGCAAAACGGTAGACAACAACGTGAAAATGTGAAATTAAAATTTAAATTATTGTGAGATTTGAGCAGATATTTTTAACATTTGACAAGATTTACCTAAAATACTGCTCAAACCATGCTTAAATTCTATATCAAAAAAGCCCTAAATTAAACCATATATTCCAAAGATGAAACAAATAAATTCCTCAAAAAGAGTTAAAAAACATGCATGTGAAAATATTGTACTTAGTAGTAACATAAGCTAACATTATCTTGTGATCAAAATAAAAAATTTTCTAAATAACTTTCACTATTTTCATTGAAGAGATCAAGTTATTTTTGTAGAATTTCATCAGCAATTTTCCATCTCATGCAAGAAAAGCCATGCTAGTCTTTCTATTTGGCAAAATGATATCCTTTGGAAGAGAATGCAACAATATAGTGATTTTTGCCCAATAACCATGAAGATAAAAAGGGTATCAAGGATAGGAAGATATAAACTTTTAAATCTTAATTGAATTGTATCCAATTGTCGAATTAGTATATAAGTTTCAATATAAAAATAATTTAAAAATATTTATTGCCTAAACATAATATTGTTTTTAGGAGAATAATAATCTGAAAATAATAATAATAATAAATGTGACAGGCTTATGACATATTTGATGTTTTTTTTTAAACCCAATAGCATCTAGTTATTGGCCCATCTATTAAGTTATATTAGGTATGGGGCATTAAGATTCACAATTAATGTCATTTACATACATCATGATATTAAGAGCAAAACAAGTAGAGTTAGCAATCATACTTTATATCATGGCTTCTTTATGTATTTCATTATGGGAAGCAAATACTTGGCCATCACTAAGGCCATGTATACTAGTTAAAGATAAGTACTTTAAATTGTTTAATTGTTTAGATTCATGTTTTGTAACAAGTAGATGGGAAAATTTATTTTCTTAAGGAAATGTTGAGGTAACTAAGGAAAATTCTAAACAAGTGAAAGAAGACATGATCGTACATAATTAAAGAATAAACTAGACCAATTAAAGAAGTGTAAATTGTGGAAATAGTTGATGCTTGACCAAACTGGTATTGGATAAAGTCCATTAAAGAAATTTATGGATGTTTTAAATGATTGGTGGAATGAGAAATTATATGTTTATCTCTTTATATTTTAAGGTCTACTAACACTAGTGTAGAATCTAATAAATTTTGCATTGAAATTGTTAATTTTTTATAGGAAATTCTAGATATTAAGATGTTTTGATATAATGGAATAATGCTTGAGTTAGAAGAAAAGCTTGATAGGATGTTTAGTTGTATAGTGGAAACTAGCAATGATGTTTAGATTCAAACTATGAAGTTATGCTGCCGGCGGATACCAACACTGCCAGCTGCTAGTCACCACCACCGCCATCTGTTGACCACCACCACCACCTTCCTCGCTGGTCGAATACTATTTTTGAACGTTACACTACATTTATTACTGAAAAAGAAAATCATTCACTTGTATTTATTTATATTCATCTAAATAACTTCAAAAGTATTTCTTTTTACATCGCATTCTTTTTACAATACGGGGTTGTTTGGGTGGAGGAAAAATAAATGCAATACATGATAAATGTTTTCTTTTAACTTTTTGGTGTTTGATTGGCCACATGATTAAAGTAAAGTAAATTCGCAATGTTTCAGAACTCACACTTTAGTTTATTTTTGGCATGAAGTAAGTCAGCTCAAAATAGAGTGAGAAAGGAATTCATGGGGAAGTAGCTTCTTCGGCTCCTTTGTTCCTACTCAACATCACTCTTTCAAAGAGGCGTCCAGAGTTTGATTTTCATCTTCTATATTTCTCCATTGACGGTCAACTTCGTTGCTTGGAGCGAGGAGTCGATTCTTTAGCACCATCATTGATGTTCTACATTGTAGCAACTTCATTTGACTACTTTCCCATCCGAAAGGAAATGGTAGCATTCACGCAATAGCCTCATACATGCAGGACTAGGACGCCCCTACCGCTTCTTCGACTGGAATGCCACCAATGATATCATTTACCCTCTCGGGATTAAGCACCAGGTTATCTTATCTTCTTACTTTATTTTTTTTCTCTTTCATTCGATTACTGCCCACATTTTTCTCTTGATATCTTGATGTGCACCTCTTCCTTTGCTCCTTTTGTGGGATTCTTGCATAGAATGCTAATAAATGGGCAGTTTTCGGGCCCATACATGTTCTAGATCACAAATGATAATCTCATCATAAAAGTGTGCAATAGCTTCTCGAATCCCTTTCTTCTATTTTTTCAAAAAATTGATTGTGGAAATGGGTGATTTGTTTTAAGTTCTAGATACATCATCAAAAAATTATTATGATCGGGCACAAATCTTGAGACAAAATCATGTTGGAAACTTCCAGCATTAAAATTAGGACCATATGAACTCCAATTTTAGCATACTTATAGTTGAACTGAACGTCTCGCAAATACGAACCCAACGACACTAAATTTGACTCAATTCGAGCCCAAATGAATCCAAATCAAGGGCCTGAAGCGCTGTTGGAGAGTTCAAACCACAATTTGGATTACCAAAAGGTTTCCAAACGTGACATGCTTATAGTTGAATTGAGCGGCTCGACGAGAAGAATCCAACGAGCCCAATATCACGGAATTCAAACATCATTAAAACCTTCAAATGTCTGACGAACGGTCCATGATAAAGGGATTCAACATCGGCTGTCCATCTAAACCACTCCCCATTTAACCTTGATCTTCCTCCTATTTACGGGTCATGTCACTCTAAGAATTCTATAAATAGACCCCTCATTCCTCTTGGAAAGAGACCCCCAAGCCTAAGGAGAAAAGAGAGAGATCAGAGATTGCTCTTACCTCCTTGTCTCCTCGACCACCTCCTTGAGCTTCGCCGGACCACCGCTTGACGCTCTGAGCTTCGCCGTATCACCAACTGACGCCCTAAGCTCCGCTGAACCATCGCTTGATGCCTTTGAGCTCCGTGTGGACCACCACTTAATGCCCTAAGCTCTGCCGGACCACTGCCTGATGCCCTGAGCTCCACCAGACCGCCACCTGACGTCCTAAGCTTCGCTGGACCACCGCTTGACGCCCTGAGCTTCGCCGAACCACCACCTGACGTCATAAGCTCCTCCAAACCACCGCTTGACCCCCAAAGTTCTGTCAGACTACCACCTAACGCCAGGAGTTCTTTCAAGCCACATACGGACTCCATGGTTATGCTAACTAACACCCAATTTTCAAGTGATGCCAAAATTATGTCAGATCACCGGGTGACCGCAAAGTTCCACAAGACCATCAAGTGACGTTGAACTTTCATTTACCCCTGACTTTAACCATACGGTTGATATTTGTAATATGATTGCCCTCAAGGGCGAGTCAACCCACTGTAACCTATTCAAATTATAGTGGAATCATTTTCAACTGGGTCAGGCCTCGTGATTTTTCCCTTTCCAAGATTTTCTTATGTAAAAATCTTGTGTTCTTTGTGTGTGAACCGGATATCCGTGCAGCGCTAAAACGTAAGATCATAACTATATTGCCAAGTATATTCTAGCCCGCAATAGTTCTTATCCCATTATAACAAGATTGCGAGGTTTCAATTTTATAGCAATTTTTTTACTGTATATTTGTCTTCAAATTAATATATATATTTTCAATTTCATAGCAGAAATTTTAAAATACACTGCTTTTACTTTATTATGCACATACATTAACAAACAAGAAAAATAATTCCCTTGCATTTACTTTGTAGACAATCAAAGAGTGCCAAAGTATTATAAATACACTGCATTTATTTTATACTGTATTCTTTTTTCAGACAACCAAACAGCTTTTACATTCTTTTTACACTATATTCTTTTTTTACCAACAAAAGCGCCTCTTAACAAAATAAATAAATAATGTATTTTAATTTTAAAAAATCACATAGTTGCATCAGCTTTTATCTACAATAACTTTTAAACACTATTTTCTTTAAATTAATTTTAAAATTATTTTTCTTAACATCAAAAAGTTAACCAAACGGACCCAAAATAACCCTTTTAGTTTTGAGATTTATAAAAGAAACCTTAAATATTTTGTATTTACATAATAAATAACAAAATGCAAATGCTGTCCACCGCACGACCTCCGTTTTCACTGCAGGAAGTTTCATAACTACCCCTTCTCGATATAAAAACTGGACTTTTCCCGAACAAAGTTTCTTTTCGATCGTGACCGGCGTCCTGGCTTCTAAAAAACCTCGCCGCCTCTTCTCCTCCGCTTGCCGGCGTCTCTTCCATCGCTTCCCTCTTGACGCCACCTCCACGGCCGTGTTGAATTCCGCTTCATCGTCCGTTGCGGCAGGATCGGCATCTTTGTTGCAGCTCTCCCCTCACCCTATCCATGACCATGATGACCCCTCCGCCCCTAATCGAAGTATGCCTTGAATTCCTTCCGCCGTCATCTACTAGTTTCCTTCGGCTTCTTAGCTCCTTAACTCTAGCATTGCCGTGGGACTCTCCTGTTCTCGCGATTTATTAGTTGGCCACTTTTAATCTCTCGCAAATAACGTTCGTCTGGGAACCGGTGTCTAGGGTTTGGGTCCTGGCGCCACCCGCTTGAATACGATTTATCGTTATCCATTTTGGCTAAGTTTGATACCTAGGGCGTAGATTTTATTATGGGGACTCTGTTTTGCGGGATCTAAGTGGTGGTTCCTTCTTTGTTTCTTGCAGCGGGAAGATAATGAAATTTTCGTGCCGAACTCGGAGTTTCCTGAAGGGCCTCAGCCCATGGAAGGTGAGCCCGTAGTCTTGTAAATTGTATTTGAGTTCTTGTTTGATCTAAATCATCGAAGTTGATGATTTCTTCTTTTGCTCTGTAATGGTGCACAGTATGGCGTTCTGGCAATATTTATTCTGCTTTACGCATGACGTGCTCCTTTCTGTTTTTGTTTTTGCTCTTTTTAACTGCTTTGCTCCCCATAATAATTTCTCCTATATTAGTTGCACCTCCGGAGGTTGCCACCACGACTGATATTCAGCAGGTGGAGGACCCCCCATCTTCCAGATTTCTTTGGACGATCGAGAATTTTTCAAGGTTGAACTTTAAGAAGCATTACTCCGACGTTTTCATTGTTGGAGGCTATAAATGGTATCTTTTTTACTTTTCATTTTGATCAATAGTCTTGTTGTCCACACTCTGTTCATTGACAAGGTGCAAGGAAGTTCTAGCTTTTATTTTTCCGGTGGTTATGATGCAGGAGGGTTTTGATTTTTCCAAAGGGGAACAATGTAGAACACTTGTCTATGTACCTAGATGTTGCCGATTCTGCAAGCTTGCCGTATGGGTGGAGTAGACATGCACAATTTGGTCTTGCTGTGATCAATCAGATGCACGGAAAGTTCACTATAAGAAAAGGTATGCTGTTAGTTTATGCATTTGGTTGGTTGCCATGGGTTAAAGTACAACAGCCATGGTTCTGAAAAAATATGAGCTTTACTTTTGCATTATTTCAAGTATAAGCTCGACAGGCTGAATAAAGTTGTTTTTTTGGTGGATTAGCAGCTAGATTTTCTTGTTAATGAAATGTTGAATGTGCAATTCCTTCGGCAAAGTACTTAGCCTGTATACCAATTTGTTGATAGAAACAATTGGTTGAGGATCTTGTCCTGGTAGTGTGATTGTTTGTTGAGCATAGTTTTGCTTCAATTATTGTAATATTATGTTATTGTTAAATTTTCATGCTTTTTATGCCCATGTACATGCTTAAATGCCTTCTTTGTTTCAAATGAGTTTGCTGTTGCATTGATTTTTTTTTCCATACATACTGCTTTATTTCATGCTATTTACATATCTAACACCAAAAACATTAATATTACATGCCTACCATCCATATACAACTTTAATATCAATGCAACAGCAAACTCAACAGCAAACTCGTATTTTTTTTTCCATACCACTCCTATATTTCATTCCTACCACTCATACAATCATATGAACTTTAATATTTCATTTCATGCACCCATATTTATTCTATGGGTGGTAGGCATGTAATATTAATGTTTTGGATGTTAGATATATAAATAGCATGACATAAAGTGGTATGTATGTAAATCTTCCTTTTTTTTTGAAGATCGGCAAACTGCACACATTTCATAGAGTTGATAATCATATGTTTGAAATTTTAGTTCTCGAGTATTTAGGTTTGGTATAAATTAAAAATTCATGAGTGTTTATGTTTGGTATAAATTGAAAATTCATGAGTATTTATGTTTGGTATAAATTGAAAATTCTCCCAGAAAAGCATGCCTCCAAGCCTAACTCATTGTTCATGAACTCAATATATTTTTTATTTATATGGACCGTCATTGAATATGTAATTTTTTTTTTTCATATGACAGAAGCGCAACATCAATTTAACATACGGGAAAGTGATTGGGGATTTACATCATTTATGCCTCTTAGTGATCTTTATGACCCAAATAAAGGATTTCTTGTAAATGATACTGTGGTAGTTGAAGCTGAGGTAGTTGTTCGTAAGTTGGTTGATTATTGGACCTATGACTCAAAAAAAGAAACAGGTTATGTTGGCCTTAAGAATCAAGGTGCCACATGTTATATGAACTCCCTTCTACAGACATTGTACCATATTCCCTATTTTAGAAAGGTATGTTTCCGTATTTTGCATTGAAATTTTTGCATATGAGTGCCTCTTTTAAGGAAGAAAAATCACTCTTAGAGCATGCCTTTCAGGCTGTGTACCATATGCCCACAACTGAGAATGACATTCCCTCAGGAAGCATCCCCTTGGCTCTGCAGAGTCTGTTTTATAAGTTGCAGTATAGTGATACTAGTGTTGCTACAAAAGAGCTTACTAAATCATTTGGTTGGGACACATATGATTCATTCATGCAACATGATGTTCAAGAACTTAATAGGGTTCTTTGTGAGAAGCTGGAAGATAAGATGAAGGTTTGCGGTTAATAATGCTTAGCTTTTCTTGATTCTTGTGATTTGTAAACTAATATAGCATCTCAGGGAACTGCTGTTGAGGGCACAATACAACAATTATTTGAAGGTCACCACATGAACTATATTGATTGCATTAATGTTGATTACAAATCTAGCCGAAAGGAGTCATTCTATGGTAAATAATCATTGTTATCATATAAAAAAACTTATTTTTTTTGGTCATGTAACATTACCTATTTCAGATTTGAACAAAATAATGATTTGGGATTTTGTTTTCACTAATTGTTTATCTGAATCTTGTTTAGACCTGCAACTTGATGTCAAAGGGTGTCGTGATGTTTATGCTTCCTTTGATAAATATGTTGAAGTTGAGTCTCTTGAAGGAGACAACAAGTACCATGCAGAAAAATTTGGTTTACAGGTTAGTTGTGTATTCATACGTTTATTTACTTTAGCTACTTTAAGTGTTATTTGTCTTTGCTAACCCTTTGGACTAAGGGGAGTTTAAGTTGAGGAAATCCTTCTTAGCGGAGTTTCTCAAATGAAGGAAGTGGATGCTTCTTTTTTTTTTTTCGGTCAAATAATATATCCTGTGCCATAATTCCATTGAAGTGCTATTGACATATCAAATGTTGAAGCATCAACTCGGTTATTGGTTTTACTGATCTTATTTGTTTGATTCGGTTTAATTGTTGAAGCATCAACTCGGTTTTTGGTAATACTTTGACTTTTTGTTATTTTTGGTTATTGGTTTAATTTTTATATTGTAAAATTGATAAAACCAAAGATCAAATTATAATAATTTATTCAAAAATTAAATCTACAAAACCTTTGAATTATAAATAAGAAAAAACTATCAATGTGATTTTAATTTATTGCATATATCAAAATTATAAATTTTAGCAAATATTAATTAGTTTTCTTATTAATACTTATCATTCAAGCTAAATGCAATTATATTCATTGTTAATGTTAATAATATTTCGGTTTTTCCAAAACCATATCGAATTGATTGAACTAAAGTTTGGTATGGTTTACTTCAGTTTGAAAAGTAGTTTGGTTAATTTGGTTTTTGGAATTTTTGAATTGATACCAATTGGTTTAGTTGATTTGCAAACCAAACAAATAAGACTACGCGCAGTCGCGCACATACCTATTGACACATTCTGTGATCAAAATATTGGGAAGTTGACAAAAGCAAAAAATATTTTTAGTTGTGCTTATTGAGATTTGTGATATTATTGAAACTGAAGGTAGTTGTGTGTTAGTTTCGTAACCATACAAGATTTGGGTTTTATGCACATAATTGCTCATAACAATTATCAATCAATATTAATATATGACAATGTGATGCCTATTTGTGATGTGTTTAAGTATTTTGGATCTATTATAAAAAGAATGAAGCTATGAATGAAGGTATAATTTCTAGAGTTAAGGTTGAATAGTTAAAATAGGAAACTTTTTTAGTAGTATTGTGTGATTAGAGTATAATTTGTGACTTAAGGTAAAATTTATGTTTTTTTATTTTCATATGCTTTGGACACTGTAATTTTGGATTCTTTGTTTTTTATTTTTGTATTGCCCTATGATGGAAAACAACCTATGATCATGCTTGGGTTTGGTGCTTTTTGGTAGATGCTTTCCACTTGTGTTTTAGTTCTATCTCTCCTGTGGCTCCTCGTTTTCCCTGCTAGCTCTTAGTTTTCCGGCCTGCTAGCTCTCAGTTTCCCTGCTTGTTGGCTGTTCTTTTCCCCTTTGCTGATTCCTATACTATGTGTTTTGACTTCTCATTGTGAGCACTGTCTTGAATGTTTTCTATTGGCTATTTTAGTGGCACATTTATGTGATCCAACCATTAAAAAAGCGGACGAGGCATCCCCATTGAGTCGCACCTCAAGTCGAGGCGGAAGTCATGCGTATCGGGGCTTACGCCTGGAACCATCCAGCGAAGCTTACGATTTTTTCGCACGAGGCGTACGCATCAGAGCGTAACGCCTCGAGGCAGTACGAGGCATCGCTTCAAATTTTTTTCTTCGGTATATATGTAAATACGATGCAGCCGATTCGTGTTTGCGTATTCGCGTATAGGATTAGGGCTTCATGTGAGTATTGAAAGGCGAGCTGGTGGCGAAGCCGTGAGGGAAAACGACGAAGCCGTGAGGGAAGAAGACGAAGCCGTGAGTGCAGGAGACGAAGTCGGAAGGAGATGACGCAGGAAACAAGGATGAAAGCAATAATTGTTTCGAAAGCAAGAAACGAAGCCCAAGTTGTGAGTGCAGGAAATGTTCAGGCCTCGATTAGGTTGAAAGAGCAGTTGAGCGGTGTTGTGGGCCTTGACTTTGAAGTGCAGTAACGAAATCTTGAATAACTCATGATTCAGCTTTCTTTCATTCGTCCGCTCAGTACATGCTCGGTACTGCTAGGTATCGCTAGATATCGCTCGGTACTGAGCAAGTATATGCTCGGTACTGAGCAAGTATATGCTCGGTACTGAGCGGTACATGCTCGGTACCACTAGGTAGATGCTCGGTACCAAGCCAGTACTGCTCGGTACCGAGCAAGTATATGCTTGGTACTGAGCGGTACATGCTCGGTACCGAGCCAGTATCGCTCGGTACATGCTCAGTACTGTTAGGTAAATGCTCGATACCACTCTATATCTTTCCATACAAACAATATACGAACTTTAAAAACAAGCAGAATCAAGGAATCAATGAAATATTGAGAATGAAATTGACTATTTGCTTGTTGATGAGTTACAATCTGATGATGAATGGGTTACTCCTATGAATGCTGATGTTTCTGAAGTTGAAGCAGAAAGAGAAACTCATGTCAATGAAGAAGACAATGAAGCAACTATCCAAGTATATATAAGAAAGAAATAAAGTGAGATTGGAGCTTCAAAAAAATTCAAAGATATTCTTAAATATAATGAATTATTTTGTATGTTACTATTATTTCATTTTAGAGTTAATGAAATATTAATTGATATAGGAGATAGAGGAAAAAAATGTTATAGATGAAGAAGAGTTTGAGGATGACTTTGACATTAATTATGAAGATTCTTCTGAAGACAATCAAAGTGATAATGAGTCTGCTTTGGGTCTTTATCCTAAGGGGATGTTTTATTTTTAAGTGAGTTTATTTTAAATCTTGTATTATAGTAATATTATCTTGAAAAAAATCTTCAAATTCATAGTTGACATAATATTTTGTTATTTTTTGTCATTATTTATAATTTTAAATTAATTTATTTTAATCGTTTTGAGGCTTACGGCTTGATCCGCCTCGAGGCTTACGCCTTGCCTCGCTTAGAAAAAAAGCCTCGATTCCTGATTTCGCCTTTTAAAACCTTGATGTGATCTATTAAATGTTATTTCTCTTCTTTCTCCTATATATAGTGACTGAATTGTTGTTGGGAGGGTTGTTGTTGGTGAAAACAAATTCAGACATGAGGGTTTCTTCCTAGCTTGAGAGCTATCTTTTTCCTAATCCATTTTTTTTCTTTCCGGTCTTCTTCCTAGTTCTTCTCTCCACGATTTCACTTCCATTTGTATCTTTCTTCTCTAAACATTGTGAGCTATAAGGTGTGTTGTGCTATGTTCTATTTGTATTTGTTGGAGGAGCATTTGCCTGCGCTAGATCACAAAAATTCATGTGGTGGATCTTTGGTTTGTCCTTTCCTTAGAGCACCTTTTTCCGATTTTGTGATTTACATATGAGGTGACCATACGTAGTTGTTCTGAGGGTATTTGAATTTAATTGTTTGGTTTCTTGTGTGTCTTCCTTACTATTTTCTAAGCTTTGTTTCCTAATTAGTTTTCATTATTTGTTTGTTTATGTGATATTTGAAAGAAGTGTCAGAATTTGCATTCATAATATTTTCCTACTTGGTTTAAGAATTTAGGTTGCATCAATTTGGTATCAGAGAATTAGGTTGTTGATCCATCTTCCTTTATTTTAAAAAAAAGAAACAATAGCTAAGAAACAACAATAAAAAATTTGATTCCATCTAGCCTAAGCAATCTCTAGGAAGAAAAGCTCAAAATTCACAAGCAGTCATGGGAATAGAAAACCATCTTTGTGAACATCATTGCTCCATTGATCACTGGAATAGAAAACTTGTCTGACACAATCTCCTTTTTTAGGACTCGTTAATCCATGCAGAATCTTCAGCTCCCATCCTTCTTTACTAATAAGTTTGGGCTAGATCTCGATCTGATTATTCCCGTCTCCAACATCTCCAATATCAACTTCTCAATCCCGGATTAGCTTTTCAATCTCATCCTTCTGGATCTAAGGGTAGTGGTAAGCCTTGACGTTTATTGGTGTCAGCATGCTCCTGCTCCCTATGTGGTGGCTGAAAAATCTCGTTGAACTGTTCGATAAGCGGCTGTTCTGAAGGAGGGATATCTTCCCTTTCCTATAATGTTACCCCCTTTAAGCTTTGCAGCTCCACCAAAAATCCTCATCTCATCTCCTGTATGGTCTTCACCATGGTTTTGAGAGACACCATGGCTTTAGATAATCCTGCGTCTCCCATGATCACCACCCTTCTTCTTTCCATCACTAGATCCATCGTCAATGTTCTCCAATTAACCTTGGTATCTCCCAAGGTTTGTAGCAATTTCATCCCTAGGAGACATCCTTGCTCCACAGCTCTGATAGAAGGAAGTCCTCCCTCACCTGAACCCTCTATATGGTTAGAACAACTCCCTTACACACTCCTCTACCCGTCTTCACCTTCTTAGTACACATCGTCACTCCATAGCACCTTGTGTCTACTAGTTACACCCCTAATTGGTCTACAATTTAGTTGGAGATGAAATTTTCGGTCCCCCTACTATCTATCACCACCACCACCACCATGTATGCTATTTCTCCTTCACTTTCATGGTGTAATTTGAAGTGAATCCCACCACTGAGTTTAAGGAGACCTTCACCATATCTTGATGTAGCTCTTTCTCATCCTTTACTAAGGCCTCACTTCCACCTGCCTCCTTAGCTTCCTCTTCATCATAGATAGTGATAACCTGAATATTTCTGTCCACCGGTGTATACTTTTTACACATATGAAGCACAATCCCTTCACCCTCTTCTTTTGGAGCTCCTTCTTAGTGAGCTTCTTAAAGTTTCCTCGGATTCCCCCTCCTATAGGCTTCTCCTTTAGGTTCTCTCGAGGGCTACACAATGTCGGGCTCTTGGGTGCTAAAAAGGTGGTGGTTATCTTGTACGAGCCTCCTAAACTGCTGCCTTAGGCCCTCCGCTCCAGGTGTTTCTGATCTTCCATTAATTGGGCTAGCTCTATAACCTCTCCCAAATCACGAAAGCTCATCACTCTAACTGTCGTCCGTATCTCTGGTTTGAGTCTCATCATGAAGTTCCCCTCTAGTACAGTCTCAGAAAGCCTGTCTAGTCGGC